AATATTAATGCCTCTGTTATCTCTTCATTAGATTGAAGTTCGTTGTCTAGCACCCTCGATGGCGCTCATATAACCTTATGCAGTTGCGAGTGCCATAAAACCTCTCATAAAACACACACACAAACAACACCCATGATTTGATGTCATCGATGCCTAGAACCATGTTCGAAATAAAGGAAACTATATCTCAGGGTAATACAAACACAGCAGGGTATCATCGGCATTTAAGTTTGAATACTTTTTTTTGTTGTTGAAACTATGGCCAAGAGGTGAAGTGCACAGGGAAAGGTATAGAATTAGGGACAAATCTGACCTTTGTGGTACGCTAAAAACAAGATCAATACACGTACAGGCTGACTGGGTCCCATGCACAACTGTTGACTGGGTCCATCCTTGTAAATGAGATTTTTAAACCAGTCGAGAACTTGTATCATAAATTTCAAACGTTGTTGACAATCGCTCGATTAGCATAGAATGATCGATTGAATTTAAATCTGCACTATGGTCACGAAGAGCAAGACCACAGCAGCTTTTGCCATCACCAGAATCTGTCGCCCACAATAAATCATTTTTGAACCAGATCTATATTATGTTTTCAACAGACCAGTCAGCGTATTGTCAAACTGCCGATAGGACGCCTGCTATAATTCATGCAAATTATTCTAATGCAGATGATCTTTCCTATTACTTTCGATTTTAAAAAAGACAAGTTTGAGATAAGTTTAAACTTATTAATTTCATTTGGGGACTGTTTGGTTTCTTCAGGAGGAGAATAATCATAGATGGTACCGTACTTCTTTTCCAGAAAAAAGAGACTCATTTGCTGGTGGTTATTTTATTAATAATACTATCTAGATGACTGACAAGGCTCATTAATTAATGGTTGTTATTTTAATGATACTATCTAGATGACTGGCAAGACTCATTTAATGGTGGTTATTTTAATAATACTAACTAAGCAAGACTCATTTAGGGTGCTCTCGTGGCCTAGAGGTTAAGGTGTTCGCTTCTCATCCAAAGGTCCCGATTTCGAATCCGGATAGCGACGGAAACATTTTCTTCTCTAAAATTATCTTCTTTCACCTGCTCTCTAACAATGTTATGTCGTCTGCTTTCGTTTCTACTTTCTGCCCCCAACCCTTCACCTCCTTCGCCCCCTATTCTGGGCCCCAGACTCTTTTTGCAGCCTTTCTACTGCTACTCCTTGGCTCCTTCTTAAACTCCTGTCTTTCAGTCACACGAATGATCTTCTGGTAGGAAAGATCTACACCTAGCATTC